AATCTCTAATATTTGTGTGAAGTTGAGATTAGAATTGGAATATTACTTTCTTTGAGCTGCTAATCAAAAAAATTTCTTCTGATGAACCTCTAATCTTTCTCCTTTCTAATATTCCGGTCCAATATAACAACACAACCTTTATGTCAAGTTTTATTTTCCAGAAACCATATATATAATTAGGGAGTTCTCTCTCCATTTAGATTGTCCATCTAAGCAATTTTTTTTTAAATGTTCAATTAATTTATGTTTATGTATATTTATTGTTACTTATAAATACTAAAAATTTGAATTAAATAAAAAAAACGAAAATAAGTAAATAAATGATTAAAAGTAATACATAGAAGAATATATAATTTTATGTAAAAACAAAATTACAACAAAAAATATATTTCATATATATTGTACTTCATCTGAGAGTAATAAAAATATTATGAATTTATGATTTATTTTATAATTACTAGAGATTAAAAATAATTAAATAAATGAATAGAAGTAGTATAAATGAAAGATTATGAAATATTTTTTTTGGTAGCAATAATATAGAGAGGTGAAAAAAAAAAGTAGATGTAGGGAGACACAAATGCATATAAATGTTAAAGAAAAAGTTTTCAAAGAGAATTTAACTAAATTTCGAAAAGATATATGGACAATAAAATACTAACGATTTTTTTTTCGATCTCATTCATTGTCTGAAATATAGCAGTTTCGTAAAATATATGATATTATTTATTGGACCGGATTATCAAGTTTAAAGTCGTGCTAATTTGTTTCGTCATGTAAGCATGATAAGTGAGATGGGATAAGGTCAATGGTCAACATCAAAACTTCTTAGATACGTCCTCACGAGAAGTTTGAATATGAACATAATTCTCTCTGAGATAATGGATCGTGAGATGGTCACCAAAACCGTTTCTTTTTCAGGTGTGAGGTTCATAACTTATTTTTCATACCATGTGGTATTTAGTGCTTCATTGCTTTTCAAATAAAAAAATCTATCCGACA